TAATCTCTAATTAACATAAAGAAGACACTAGATGGTGCTGTAAACTAAGAAGTGCATTATTCATTAAGGAGGTAAGGTGGTGTAGGAAGTTAAATCTTCCTCTGCTAACACCATCTTTCTCCTCTTTGCCATTTCCTGGTCAGCATGTCTCTCTTGGTTTGTGGAAAACATTCACTCAAAATGGTTTATAAAGCCAAATGCAAATTTGTTTCCCTGAATTTATTTTAGAACTTAAACTAGCCTCAGTTTGCTAATGACAGTGACAGAGAAGAGATGTGAATTTGAGTTAAGATGAGCTACTCAAATATTTGGGACAAAGTACATGCCCAATTTTGGACTGGGTTATTTAAGGAAGGAAAGTAACTATTAATAACCTAACAGCCATGTTTTTTGGCTATATTTGTGCAGTAAATACATTCTCACAAATTCATATGAAGTAGCATTTTATATATAAAATCATTTTCCCTTTCACTTCTAGAATTCCTTCCAGAAAGATAAGCTCATGGAAAATATTTTTGTACCACGTTAGCATTGAATAGATACTTAATCTGAACATTCATTTCCAGAAGCATCAGTTTTTCTGATGTTCCCACTTCCATTACCTGGCAGAAAGCCTTTCACAAATGGGTGATTATTGATCTACTTGGATTCATAGGACTAGAAAAGAATGTAGAAGTTGGCTGCATGTATGGAAGAGACATACAGGATTCTCACTGCGATGGATGAGCTGATGGAACACAAGCCATATGGAATGTTTATAAGAACTAAATGTGATTTCAGTAACATCCTAGTCTACACTAAGAGTTTTAAAAACTTGCTGTAAAATATGAAGTAGTGTTAGAAAGATTTCATTTTGTTTCACTTTAGAATTTAAGGAAGTTTGCCTAAAGTCAGATAACTATAGTCATTTTATTATCAAAACAGATAAAATGCTAACTGACCCTGCAGGACATTTTAAAGTTTATTTTACAGGAGGGCATTTCAGATTCTTTAAAAAGCTTTGTTTTTGCTCTAAAAGCTGTAGAATGTTTACAGGTTTGAAGCATCCATATATATATATATATATATATATATATATATATATTCAATTTGTGAAAATCATAACTAAGTGAATGTTACCAGATTAACCTGGCTGTGTGTTTAAAGAAACCCAAATGTACTGAAGTAGAAATTAGTTGTAAATAACCTACTTCGGAAGAGAGTAAAAATATTCTGAGGACATGTGTTACCTTTCTGTTTTGACATCTGTTTACCATATATTTACTGTAAATAATGTCAAAATTGTTTTGCATTTGACTTGACTACAGAGGTGTAACCCAGGAATTATTTGGTTGACTGAGAAGTAACAGGAGCAAAAAGACCAGAGACACTAGGGACTGTCACTGGGGGTGGGCACTGCCAAGGGCTGTCAGAAATACCCAGTGGGGGAAAATAACTGCAGCTGAAAATATGCCAGCAAGAATCGAGACATTTTATTTTCTCAGAGGAGACCTGTCTGAGATTAAGAACTGAATTACCGTTTGATTTCTAAAGCAGGATGTGAGCGGTGAAAACAGGGGCCTTTGTGTTCTGCCAGGGTTCCTCCTGTCTTTAAATACTTAAAAAACATCCCTCCATGAAGTGCCACTGGATTGGCAGAGAGCTCCCTCAGTCTGCGTGTGCAGGTGATGAGGCCCCCCTGGTGCATTCCCCAAGACTTACTCCATAATTACAGTGAACTTTGTGTTCCACCCAGTATTGATTCTTAAATGGTCCATTAAGGTGGAAATGTTGAGCAGTTAATATGGTGAGTTAAGAGCAGCATGTGACCTTAATTGTTTTACAGTGCTTAGATTAACCCACTATTACCACATCAGCTAAATGCGGTGAGTGTAGGTGAGTGGCATTCATGATGCATGTATTCTAGAACTTTCCCAAAGCCCCATGTTTGTGAGCTGTAGTGTAACTTACACTTTTCTTCACAATGAGTTCTCTGAGGTCCTAATAAATATAGAAATGAAGTCTTTTCATTAGCAGTTGGCTGTCTCTGGACAGCTACTTCCCGACATTTGTGCCTTTGCCAAGTGTTGCCCTGATGCTGTACAGAGGAGGATTTCTCCTAGGCCACACAGCGTCAGCAGACAGCAGAAACTACAGGCATGTATACACTAGCTCCCACAGGTTCTGGTTTTCTGTCAACCAACTTTTTTCCACTGTCTTCCCCTACCCCCAACTATAAATAGGAGTTCTGCCTGCTGACCCCGAGAGTTCTCCCTTGTGATATATTATTTATTAATTATATGGTGACCATTAGTTATTGATTCAGCACTTTTGTCCTTTTAATATCTGGCCACAGGATTAATATTTGACTGCTTATAACCTGAACTATAGCAGCATTCTCGTCCTTTCTTCTTCTTTCTCCCCACACAGACCCTGGACCTTCAGGGCAGTCCAAGTTTTGAGGTCCAACTTGATGTCTGCACCTTTCTCAGAATGATCCCCATTCTTTCCCAGTTCCTATTTACTCAACAACCCCAGCATCTCTCCCACATGGCTTCCATTCTTCATTCCAGCTGGGACTGGGCACATCAGACATCATGGTCTTATTGCTGCTATTTTAGTCCCCTGATGTCTGTCTGTCTTCCTCATGACCTTGAGCATGACCTGCCTCATCAGAGACCCTCTTTGGGTACCATTTCTTGGAGGGTAAGGAGCACATGGAGGATTCCATGGCCCTTCTTCTTCTGCCCAAGGTTTCCTGTAACTGTACATTGCTTTACCCCTTGTCCTGCTGACCACAGATGCCCAGATGCTAACCATTAGGCAACCCTGTTCTATTCTCTCCCATTCTCTGTACCATTTTGGCTGCCAGGCCTTCTTTAGGCTGGGTTTTGAAGTGATTTTGTTCTGTTATGCCCTTTAGTCTTGAAATAAGGGAAGCCAAAGCAAAGACCCTCTGAGACTTTTTTTTTTTTAGTACTAGGATCAAGCCCCATGCCTTGAGCATGCTAGGCAAGTGCTTTACCACTAAGCTCCACTCCCCAGCTGTCATTCGAGGCTTTTGTGTAGGGAACCGGAGAGGCAAGAAGAGCCAAGTGTTCCAGGAAGAGCTGTGTGCTCATCTGTTGTGCACACACCTGGTGAGGTCAAATGAGTAGCTAAATTTGTTTTCAAATTCTAGGTTCTATAGACACTGCTTGTGTGACCTAAGTCCTCCAGACCTATATGTTGAGCTGTTAAACTAGTTAGTCGTGACCGCTTTATATTATTTTGTAAGGAATAGATGAAATAGAGCTAATAAATAGCATCTTACTGTTTACTCCATGCCAGGCACTATGTAAAGCGTAATCCTCCCCCTCCCCCAAAGGTGTGACTACTATTGCTCACCCCATGTTAGATTTGAAGACGCCAAGAATAGAAAGCTGAGTCTCTCGCCCTGGGCCTCAAGGCAATAGGAGCAGGGCCAGAATAAGCAAGTTTGCAGTGTCCAAGTTTGCAAATGTCTCTGTGTTACTTCCTCCCTATTAGAAGCCTGTATGTAGCCTTTAGTAGCATGAGGGTCTTGATGTCTGTGATTCTTATGTGTGGGATGAATGTCACTTGAGATTATTTTGGGAGCAAATAAGATGGTGAATTATGTTAGTTGCAAAGTTCTGCATTACAGTGAGCCTAGGTGATTATTTGTTTGGTTTTTATTAAAAAGGGGCAAAGCTGAAAATGCAAAAATAAAAAAAGGGGTCAGTTTTATTAGGAAACATTGGTGACAGATAAAAAACAAGCTCAAAATAGCTTAAACACATGAAAATACAATTATTATAGAGGTGGGAGAATGTTTTATGTGTCTTCCCTGGGCTGCCTATGTGACCTAGTCCTGGTTCCTTGTCTCTTTTCCCATCCCCACTCTCCTCCATCTCTGTGTACTCTTACATCCCTATGTCTCTGTGCAGTCAGGGTTTTCTAGAGACAGAATCAGTAAGAACCCATAAGATGTATGTAGAGAGATGCACACTGAAGTCAAATGATTGTGGAGGCTGGCAAGTCCAAAATGCACAGGGTAGGCAGTAGGCTGGGGACTCAGGAAAGAACTGTGTTTCAAGTCTAGAGATAGAATTGCACCTTCCCCCCAGGAAGTCAGTCCTCTTCTTTTTGGCCTTTGCCTGATTGGATAAGGCAAAGGCAGTCTGCCTGCTCCATGTCCACTGATTTAAATATTAATGTAAGTAACACCTTCAGCACAACTTCTATTTGGTTGTTAAAAGGAAAACTTCTATTTGGATGATAAGCTGGAATACCATGGCTCAGCCAGTTGACACACACAGTTAACCATCACAGCCCTTGTGTGCTCACTCATACCTTTCTCTGTGTTTCCTGTCATTCTCTTTGGCTTGCCCTCCATACCATCGTGCCTTCTGTCTACGTGTGATTCATGCCCTCCACTGTCAGAATGGGCTTCCTCAGACTTCAGGCCACTCAAGGGGTGGAGGGTGGTGCCTAGAAGTCTGTAAGCATGTGTTTTAGCAGTAGCTGCACAGTGACTTCTATGCCACTGTCTCTCCACCTTTTAGTTTTGTTGGACTGGGACTGGTGTCAAGGTTTGGTGCCACTCTGTTCTTGTCTTTGTTGTACTTCTGGAATTTCAAGGAAGGAAGAAGAGTCTGGCCTTAGGGCTCACTGTCCACTTGGGATCCTGCCAACAAAGACTAGGACAGTGGGGTCATGTTATATAACCTTGGCTATGCACAGCCCACTCCAGTGACAGTGGGGAGGAAGGAAAGAGGTGTAGAAGGAGGGTATTAAGCTATTCAGGGGCTCCACCTGGTACTCCCTGTAAAGACATGTGGAGGTGCGATTGAATTATGGCTCTATGTATCAGTAATTATTAATGCAATATGTTTGGTTACTTGAAGATATTTATGAATCCTTATGTAATATGTAAAAAATATTGTTGACTTTGGTGACCAGTCACCAAAAAATGCACATTTGGGTATGAAACCTTGCTGCCACTAACATTTCATTCTGTTCTTGCCTTTTCATGTACAGAGGATGATGTGGACCTGGAAGTGCTGGTGAGTGAAATGAACGCATCTCTGGAGAGCCTTTACTCAGCTTGCAACATGCAGTCCGATACGGTGCCTCTCCTGCAGAATGGGCAGCATGCCCGCAGCCAGCCACCAGCCTCGGCCTCAAAGCCTGCCCAGCCACAGGCGTCCCTGAGGCAGAAAGTGCTGCGCTCCCAGCCAGTGCACATCCTCGCTGTCAGGTAGGCCCAGCAGACAAGATGCTGCCCTGTGCCCTTGATGTGGTAATGGGAGGTGACTGTGCAAAGTCAAGAGACAGATGAGTTCCCTTTATTTTAATAATGGATGTGGTCATTTCTTCTTATCCTTGGGGCACATTCCAAGACTCCCAGTGGATGCCTAAAATCAAAGATAGGACTGAATCTTACATACAGTGTTCTGTCCTATACATAACAGACTTGTGATACAGTTTAGTTTGTAAATTAGGTGAAGTGAGAGGTTAGCAACTAATAATAAAATAGAAGGATTATGATAATATGCTGTAGTAGATTTGCCAGCATCACTACCTGGTTTAGTCAACCTTTTTTGCTGCTGTGATGAAAAGTATCTGATCACAACAACTGTAAGGAGGAAAAGTTCACTTGAGGGCTCGTGGTTTCAGAGATCTTAGTCCAGAGAAGGCCGGCTCCATTCAAAGTAAGGCTGAACATCATGGCTGGAGAGGGTGTTAGAGGGAAGCAGGTCACATCATGGTGACCAGGAAGCAAAGAGAGAGACTGCACTCTCCAGATACAAATATATACATCAAAGCCACGCCCTAATTCCCACCTCCTCTAGCCACACCCTACCCCTTCAGTTACCACTCAGTTAATCCCTATCAGGGGATTAATTCACAGATCAGGTTAAGACTCTTCCAACCCAGTCATTTTCCCTCTGAACAGTCTTGCATTGTCTCACATGTGAGCTTTTAGGGGACACTTCACATCCAAAACACTACTTTTGCTCCTGGAGCTATTATTAAATAGAATAAGTAAGTATTCCTTGAATACAGGCATGTTATGCTGTGACAGTCAGACTGATAACCTGGATGGCTTTATTCCTTTTGCTGGGGATCTTTCTTGCTTCCAGAAGCTTCTAAGAAGTTTATTTCCAATTTGACACCTTGGGTTAAAGCATCTCACCCAAAGGGACTTCTCTTTCCTGAGGAGGCAGAGAGGGTGCTTTGGTGTTCTGTTGGGCCATTGCTCAGACTTCCCACTGTTGGTCACAGTTGGGGATGGTGAGTCATCTCCTCCTCCACTGTTTGTCACACTTTGTTCTCTAGAGTGTCTCCCCTGTATCTGTCTCCTGTTCAGTCCAGAGGGAGTGACCTAGTTGGGATCCAGGCATCTAGATCCATCCCCTACAGCCTCAGGGGTAAATAGGTCCATACCTAAAAGGTGGGGAAACCAGCAGTTGGACCTAGGCTGAGGGGCTATGCAGCTTGGATGAGATAGGCCTTGAGCCTTGTTCTGGGTCCATAGAACACAGTCCACACTGTGTGGAGCTAGGTGGCCACTCCACAATCAGAATGGCTGGGTGGAGCCAGGGACAGAGGACAAGCCTAGAGCAGGTACACAGGCTTCATAGACCTGCTGAGAGTTGAGCTGATTTGTGAAGGAGGAGGAGGGTTTGGGTGAGAGAGCAGAGGGACTGTGAGTGTGCTCTCAGCTGGACAAAAGGATGAGCTAGGCAAAGGCACAGAGAACACAGAACAGGGCCCACCTCCACCCCTGCCCTGCCCTCACCTGCTCCTGCCTACAGGTTATGGCACTTTTTTCACCCTTTCTGACATCTTTGAATCTTAGCTCATCTCCATGGTATTTTTTAAAAAAAAATATTTAGTTTTTTAGTTATAGGTGGAAACAATATCTTCATTTTATTTTTATGTGGTGCTGAGGATTAAACCCAGTGTCCCACACATGCTAGGTGGGTGCTCTACCTCTGAGCCACAACCCCAGCCCCACCATGGTAACTTTTCTTTGGGGAAATGACCTATAAAGGATGCATCCTTTTATTGTGGGGCTCTTTAGTGGGGATTTTTTTTTCTTTTCATCTTTGTGTAATACCCCTTAGTTTTTGCTTTAGGAAATATCTGAACTACTAGAAAGTAAAACACACAAACAAACAAAAACAATATTAAAACCAATACTAAAAATTAAATTAAAAATATTTTGAGACGCTGAAAGAGGGAAGCTTTAGTACACAAATTTGTATCTTGTTCTGTGAGTCAAAGATAAAACTGTCATTGGGGTTAAGTCATTGGTAGAGGCATTTGGTTGAAAGTGATCCTGACTCTGTCACCTTTTCTCCTCGTCTGTATGATAGTGGTCAGACTCGACAGTAGGATGCTCTGCCAAGGCCAAAGCTATTATAGGAAGAATAGGATTTGTTAACAGTAAAAATAAACTTTCTGACTTGTTAATCCATTATAGGAATGGCTTTTCTTCACAGGACAAGTTCCCTTCATGCCATATGAGTTCTGGTATTTTAAATCAGTACATCATTTCCTGGTGCATGTGGATAGACAGGCTTTCCTTTAAAATCAGAGTAGTGGGTCAAGAGAGAACAGTAAAATAGTTACAGAGGGAATTCTCTAATGGCCACCCCCAGGAATGCTAACGGATCATTGTTCTTCTCCAATTGTAAAAATAGTAAAAAAAAAAATATTTGAAGACACAGCCCTCGCAAGGGGCTTCTGAAGTGTATTTAAACAAGGCAAAGGGTTAGGACTAGACTCTATAGCTCAGGTTTGCTCTCCTCTCCTGGAAGGCAGGTGTCTGTGCCCTAGGCAACATGCTTCAGGCATGGATGGAGGAGGCTGTGAGTTCCCAGGAAAGCTCTGGAGTTGTGGGCAGGAAGTTGTTCATAGGACTCTCAGGAAGAAAAGCACAGGGCATTTTGCATTCATTTTGCTTTGACTTTGAACATGATTTCTCTGCTATTTTCTTAATTGCACCCAATTCGTCATCCTGTGCATTTTCCTTCAGTGTATGACAGGTGAACTTTGCATTTTTCAGAGGAGGGAGGAGTTGACTCTGAAGAAGTGCCAAGAAGTGTAGAGTATTGAATTAGAGGGTATTTCTGAGCTACCCTTCAGGAGGGTAGATACATGAAGCTTTGATTTCTAATTAGTTCAGTATCAACTACCGTTCTGTATAAATAAGCATTTATTCTACAGTCAGATGAGGATACATAAAGCCTCTTCCAGTTTTTTCCTTTGGTTAGGTAAAGGTTCATTTCAAGGACATTGAAACATCTTTGTTCCCATGAAAATGCTCTTATTCACAAGACCTTTTCACACACCAGGTATTCATTGAACAAATGCCAAGTACACATCATACATTGAGCATTGTTGGAGATGTGCATGAAGTCACTACAACCATGGCTTCTTCATCCCCTGGGGAGTATAATGAAGAGGGAATTTATACTCTTTGGGTCTGAGAGTAACTACTTCAAAAAATATGTTTTTACTCATGGTAAAATATATATAATATAAAACTTACCATATTAGCTATTTTAAAGTCTGCAGTTCACGTGTTAATGCACACTTAGAATTTTCTAATATATAGAATGTTTTCATCTCATAAAACTGAAACTCTGAACTCAACTAAATTCCCTATTTTCTTTGCCCTCAACCCCTGGAAGCTCCCATCAACTACTTTGTATACCTCATATAAGTGGAATCATCTGGTATATGTCTTTAGTACTGGCTTATTTCACTTAGCATAATATCCTCAAAGTTCATCCATGCTATTAGCATGTGTCAGAATTTCTGTGCTTTTTAAAAGCCAAATAATATTCCACTGTATGGATGGGTAATTTTGCTTTTGCATCCATTTATTAATAGACAGTTGAGTTACTTTCACCTTTTGACTATTGTGAATAGTGCTGCTGCAAATCTGGTATTTTCAGTTCTTTTAGGCATGGACCCAGAAGTAGCAAGGCTGGGACAGGTTGGGGATGGCAGATTTTAACCAGCCATGATGATCCTCTTTCCTACAGGCGCCTTCAGGAGGAAGACCAGCAGTTCAGAACCTCATCTCTGCCGGCCATACCAAATCCATTCCCTGATCTCTGTGGCCCTGGGAGACCCCCTGTGGTCACAGCAAGTTCCCTGCCTCCGCAGGCGCCTACAAAGCAGGTCAGTACACTTGTTGTGTAGCTGCTATGGGGTCTGCGCAGATGTCTTGGCTTGTTACTTTGGGGAGAAGGGAAGGAATTTGTGAACTTTTTATTGTGGGTTCTTTTATTGTTGATACTGTGCTTGTTGTCTTATGAGGTTTTTTAATTAGCCAAAATTACCATATTAGCTATTTTAAAGTGTACTAAGTTAGGGATGTATTGATTTGTTTTAGAAAGAGTTTCATAAATATGGTTAAAAATTATTGATTTGGTCTGTAAAGATGAATTTTAGTTCTTTGAAAGAAATTTCACCACATATCATCCTCATTAACCAACAATTCTGAGTATGAAAACACTAGGCTTACTTGGGCACCTGAACTTCAGTACAGTAAAATTGTTGAGTTTCTGTCTTGTGTTCTTGACTTTGAATATGACCTGTTCAAGGCAGAATTTTCACTTGACACTGAAAGAGATAGCCAACTTTTTGAATTTGTAATTTCTCCATTTAAGTTGAGCTGTGATGTAGATATCATGCAGCCATTGTCCCCATGTGAGAAGACTGTCAAATGGCTAGTCAACTTATCAGAGAGAATTTGGCAGAGAAATACACTGGCAGCTTCTCCCTACTGATTGGCAAGATGGATTCCAGGCTCTGGAGGGGACCCAGTCATGCTCCATGACAGAATGGGGGTGGTGGTGGTAATTATAGCAATGGGAATGACAACAACATGTGATATTTATTGAGTGATTTCTGTGTGGGAGACACACTGCTCTAAGAGGCTTCTGTGTTTGTTTGTTTGTTTGTTGTTTGCTTATTGGTGTGCTCATTGATTCCTCATATCAACCGAGGGAATTAAGTGCAAATATCATTGTCTCTGCTCTGCAGCATTGGAAATCGAGGCCTGTGGTAGAACTGGGTTTGACCTGGCGTCAAGACTCAGAGCTGGGCTGGTAGCCATAATACTGATGGGCTTCCTGCCACCTTGACTCTCCTTTTTCAAACAAATGTAGTTCAGAAGATTATTTGCCTTTCCACTAGACTCATTCTTTCTCCCAACACACTCCCCACTTGTTCGCATTTACTATTCTTAGAGTAGGACAGCAGTCCCCATTCTCTCCAAATATGCCTGTCCTGTGTCGTGTAGGCTCCTTGCTCTTGGGAGACAGACCTTTTTTTTCTACTATACGCCAGCCTCTGAGCATGGCTTCCACTCTGACACATGCGTCCCAGGCAGGCTGCATTACAGCACTGTCAAAACTTAGAAGGTGAGGTCAGTATTCCTTGTCTGGAAGCCAGCACTGGCCCAGCTTCGGCACATTGTCACATGCCTAAAGTGCATCTGGGACATCTACCTCCCTGGTGACCTTCTGCTTCAAATAAGGATCCAGACAAGCTGTCTATGGATTTGCTGCTGAGGTTGTTTACAAAGTTTCCCTTCCTAAAATAATACCACGAAAATATTATCTGGCCCTCTTAGTGATTGGCAAGAAAACAGTCCTCCAACCCCATGGATTGTTCAAATTTGTAAGAATAAGGAAACCCAGGAATTTTGCCTGATGGTGTTTTTCTTGGGATCTGAGTTGCTTCCCAGTGAGAACATTGTGCTGATTTCTGTGTTGCCCAAATTTTTCAAGCCAATTGGGACGAGCAAGAACAGGAAGGATGTTTCTCACTTAGCACTATTTGTAGAAAGCCATTGTTTTTTGTTGTTGTTTATAGCCTGTGTGAAGGGTCATTTCTTCATCCACACTTCCTCCTGACTTGTGGTCTCAGGGACAGCATGTTGTGTTGGTTCTTCTCTAGTGGGATCCAAGCTACCTGCAGTCATCTGCTAGAGCTTTGCAGCTAGGATCATGGCGGGAGGTGCTACTGGGCAAAAGCATTTGGGTTCTACTCTTTGTCACTTTCCTGAGGGGAGGAGTGAAATATAACATTCTTTATCCTTTCACGTGAAGTCAAAAGTGGAACCATGGGACCTGGGTTCAGTAGGACGTTCTGATGTAATATAAAAAGATATGATACATTCTCTGTGAATCCTGCCTGTGTAAATATTGGCAAGGTGGATTCCAGGCTCAGGAGGGGACACAGTCCCCTACAATATCTGGGAAGAACTCAAGTCAACATAGGAAAAAAGAAAAGTATAAAGCTCCTTGGTAACTGGGGACAGTGAGCAGTCAGAAAGCTCATTGGTCATGTCATTATGTTCTCTAGTGAGGGTTATGTTGGAACCAGAAAGGGAAAACCAAGTGGAGATGCTTAATCATTTGTAGAAAGGAAAAATTATTCTTGCCCAAGGCTGTATAGCTAAAGCATTCTAAAATCTTCACTTAGGTAAGTAGGCAGCTTTTCTTTTGCTTCTGATTTTCTTTTTCCCTTGGTGGCTGCTTATGGAGCAGAGTGGTCAGGTGGGTGCCTGGATCCCAGTTCTGAAGAAGACCATGTAATATGGACTTGGTGGTCATCACAGGATGCCAGCTTCCTGGCTTGACCTCCCAGGAGGACAAGGAGGTGAGCTAGTGGGCCATGGCATGTGGATGGACATGGCCCAGATGGAGATAGCCCCTTGAGCCAACTCCTGTGACTGAAGAATACCAAAGCAGACCTTTAGTGCTGTGGAATAAAGTGAAGGGACAAGGTAGCTGAGTTGTATCCGGTTCATTGTTCTTCTCTGCAGGTTTACATGAGTCTCAGTTCTACCTGCAGTTTTGGCCTGACTGCTTTGCAGCTGTGCACTGTGCCAGATGCAAACTCAGCATCCTGCAAAGGCTGGTGGCCCTTAGGACTCGATGAAATGAAGGCACAGAAAAATTCTGCAGTAAAGCAGTCATAGGGGGAGCAGATCCCTCAGCCCCACCACTCCCAGCAGCATGTGGAACTTCTGACTCTCTCTCTGACCTGTCTGCCTTCCCCTGTCACCCTGAGCCTCTATTCTATGCCAGCTCCTTTGCAGACCCTGTAGCTCAGAGCTTGTCAAGATGGTGCAGAGAATGACAAGTGACCCAAGATGAAGGCAGAAGGGAGTATTTGGCATTAATAAGTAATGGTGATGTGTGGAAAGAAAGAGGTTGTCATTTCCATCTAGAAGGATGGGGAAGTCTTCTTTTGAGCACCACTGCACCTTGCCCTAGGGAATCTCAGTGGTGCAGCAGCCACAGGGCAAACTCTACAAGTTCTTACATGAAGATCTCACCCCAGATTAATGACTGAGAAATGGCTGAGTTCTTGGCAGGTGCTGTGCTGAGGGTGCCCACAGGGCTTAACTGGGTTGTCTTCATGGTTGGTGGGAGAAGCTAAGTTTCATACAAGCATCTCAGATCCTTAAACTGGGGTACACTGAGACCAACCAGATCAGAGATCAGAGATCACTGTTCTGGGACAAAACCAGCTGACTGCCCCCTGGTGCAGTCCTGTCTGATTTCCTTGGTCTTGACTCCCACAGATTTCCCAGGCTTTGCTTCTTTCCTGGGTCTAGGATCCTACCCAAGTACTCTGACAGAGCATTACAAGGCAGGTCTGACTTCTCCAGCCTCACCCTGGCTTATTACCTCCCCTAACTGGCCTGGTGCCTGCTCTACAACTGTCCCGAGTACAGTTTGTTCAGAGTGCTGTTGACTCGGCAGGAATGGCTGGGAGTTTGGAGACCACAAGCCCAGACACTTCCTAGTTCCAGTGGTGTGACTTCTGTACGTGCTCAAGGGTCCTCCCTAATGTTCTCAGTGATCATAAACAGCGTGAGAAGTTTTGATTTGCCTGGGTTAAACTCAGACTTTTGGAGTTTTCTTTTTCGATTTACTGGATTTTATGGATTTTAAAAGACCACTGTGTTGGTTTGTTTGTAAATATTTACATGCCAGAGTCTACAGATCTTGCATTTATCTAAGGTTGTATTCTATGGCTTTGCCAATGAAGTGAGAGCACACATAGAACTGTTCATTCGTGGGAGGTAAAAGAAAGTACAGTCATCTTAGTACGTGGGTGAGATTGATTTAAGATCCCTATGGCTACCAAAGTTTGTGAATGCTCAAGTCCCTTAGGTAAAAATGTTATAGTATTTGCCTAGAACCTATGCACATCTTCCTGAATCCTTTAAATTATTTATCATCTTCAATACAATGCAAATATGCTATGTAAATAGTTATTATATGCTGTTTTTTAAAACATTTTTCCATCCCTATTTGGTTGAATCCGTGGATGCAAAGCCTCAGTATACAGGCTTTGAGCTCTAATGAATATACCTAGTGTTAAGAGAAGCCTCCACCTTTGCCCAATGAGAGGGAACACATGAATTGCAACACTATGACCTTACGTAGAATCTGTTAGTGATTATAACAGTCTTCCTTAGCTATTTTAAAACAGATTTGTGAATCCTATCCGGAGATACAACTTTGAGAAAATCATCCCATCATTTATTTAATGGCATTTAATTTTATTTAGTGATTTAATTTATTTAAGTAATTTAATAACATCTCATCATTTATTTATCAAAAATGCAAATGCCTAAGATTTCTTTCTGAGTATTAAAGTTCTTTTCTCCAGAGGGTAATGAAATTAAATCAGTCAAGTATCAGAACACTGAATTCTTGGTAAAAATCAGTATGGCATTTTTAACTGCTTTGTGACTCATTTGAAAAAGACAGGCTGCTGTGGATAAGGATGATGGTTATAGCAAAGATTTCTGAGTCATGGAATATGGAGTACCATGCCCACAGGGGACACTGACTTGGAGAGATGGGGTCCACCAGTCAGTTCTGCTGGCCTGGCCTGTAGTGAGATGCCCTTTGTTCTCAGTGTACACAGGCCATGAAGGGTCTCCTTTGTGGAGCACCCACAGGACCTTCTCTGCCTCAAAATCACCAGCCCAGAGCTTGGCAAGGTATATACAAATCTAATAGCATTTCTGAGTGCCTACTCTATGTCTGGCCTCTTCCGGCTACCAGGATGTGAGTGGCACCTGCTCTCTGATCTGAGAAGCCTAGAGCTACAGCAAAAGCCCAAGAGATGGAATGGGATACATTGTT